TCTCGGGACGTGACGGCGGGTCCCTGTAGAAAGGGAAACCTGAACTGCGTGCAGTCACTTCCTATAATCTCTGTCAGTCAGGAATAGCTTCCCTCCTGGCTTTCCTTGAGAGGACACCAGGCCTAAATATGGCTAAAAAAGAGGGCTTCTCAAAACTTTCCACCTAGAGTCAGATTACTCCCGAAGTCATTTCTCCAGGGTAATCTGGTCCTTTTGTAACTTTCCACCAGAATCAGTTGGAAATGCTTAAGTGATACCGAACTTTATTCCAGAAATACTTTAGAAATGAAGTATTCCATATACAATGCTCATGTTAGATCCTCAGAAACATACACGCGTGAATAATTATGAGTTAATGTTTGCAAAGCACTTAGAACAGTGCCTAATAGTGGCATATGTGCATATTATATAAGTAATGCATGGGTGCACCCTACAAGGGATTTATGACGTAGTTGTAGTGATAAGACTAAGAGGAAACACTTTGTACAAAATAAAAAGTAGATATGATTGGGAGTAGAGAGTTTAATAGGTACAGAGTTTCAGTGTTGCAAGACGAAAAAAAGTCTGAGTTTAGGTGGTGGTGATGGTTGCCAAGAATATGAATGTACTTAATGCCACTGGGCTGTACACTTAAAATGGTTAAGATAGTAACTACGTTACGTGTATTTCACCATAATAAAAAATTGGTAGGAAAGTATGATTATAAGAGAATATGAATATGTAGAGGCAATAAATATGTAAGAGTGTTACTGGACAAGACTCCACTGCCTGAAGCACATAGAAACCAATACTTGTCACTGGCTTTGAGGAAAGAAAGGAGCTTCATTTTTAGGTAGGTTGGCAAGAAGACAGGAGGCAAGGCTCAAATCTTCCTGATACAGGATTCAGAGTAGGGTAACAGTTTAAGAGTTCACAAGTGTTACTCGTGAGTGGTGTATCCAAGGTTTAAACTTTGGTTCTGAGTCTTGTTAACTAGGATAGGACCAGATTGAGCTTGTCTACAGTTACAGGAGTTGATAGAAGTTATATGTTTGGACTGTGGTAATCAAATACTTCATTTAGGAAAGTGGGATATAGTTGGGTCATGAAAGACAGGTTTGTAATTTGAAAAATAAATCTGAAGTTAATAATTAAAAATAACCTTTCCTCAGTATGCTTTGTCCATGTCTTGACAGCATGGAACACCTATCCTCAAGAATATATGTTAATATGAAAATTTCCTATTTATTATGCCAGTGAATGTTTGTTTCATATTTCAATGATTTATCCTATATTAAACAAAATAATCTGAGCCTATGAAACTGTTGATAAAAATAATATTGTCCCCTCTATTTCCTTTGAAACCATGAAGGGAACAGATGTTGAGCTCTACTTGGCCAACAGCTAGAACTAATTACCCAATGGTTAACAGCTTTTGTGTTGATGGAAAAACACTCTAGCTCAGCTAATAGTCACCTATCTGAACACTACTCAAAAGTGATGCTCTAAAGCAGTGGTCCCCGGCCTTTTCAGCACCAGGGACTGGTGCTTCTATGAGAATCTAATGCCTGATGACTTGAAGTGGAGCTGAGGTGGTGATGCTAGCGCTGGGGAGGGGCTGCAAATACAGATGAAACTTTGCTCTTTGCTAGCTGGCCTGCCGCTCACCTCCTGCTGTGCAGCCCAGTTCCTAACAGGCCATGGACCAGAACCAGTCTGTGGCCTGGGGGATGGAGACTCCCCAAAAAAGTATCAAAGATCTATTGTTCTCTAGCGTTTGACTACACACACAAAGTTACGTGAAACTGTCAAGTTAAATCAGACTCTGCTAATTAGGTATACAGCTAAGAGAAATTTGTGGGGCTTTTTCTTCTTCACATCTCCATTTACCTGTGTGGTGTGTGTATATGTGTTAGTGGAAATGAATATTATTTACTCTTAGGACCCAAATGTAACACTGTCAAATTTTTCACATGCTTACAAATAAAATGCTACTCGGTTAGCTTCAGAATTTTAGTTAAATTTCCTATATAGGATGTTTTTACTTTTAATTAAATGCAGATTATCTGGTATCACCCCAGAAACTTTGAATATTCCATTGTAAAAACAAGATTTGAATCACTTAATCAACTTATATTTGCACATCTATAGTGTCCTTGGCACTCAACGCAATCTATAAAAAGGCTCCAAAGAAAGATGCCTATGAGAAAAATTGTTATATTACTTTATGGGGGCAGAGCAATGAGATTAAAGTCTGAAATAAAATGTTAATTGGTGCTTTCATAGATTTTAAATAACTACTGTAAACATGAAAGAGTAATAGGACAACATAGTTTTAATGGTAGAATGCTTGTTACTGGGTAAAATTATAAAGTAGCAATATAGTCCCTCAATGCCTTTTGCACACCTCTTTTCCCAGGTGGTACCTGGAAACTAACTGCAAGTTGCTCAGACTCAGACCATGTTCCACCCAGGTTGTGGCACCATTTCCTTATGCTCATCCTTTTCTTTAGCTCCTTTGGTACTTAGACTGCTTCTTTTTTTTTTTGGACAATCAAGCCCCCAGTACTAGTCCATAAACGCCATCACTTAATATTTCCTGACAGTAACCTTAGCCCATTTTCCAGCAACTCTCCTTCCCATCAGGAAATTCTAGCTTCCTAACATTGCCACAGAGCTGGCAAAACCACAGACTTTCTGCCAGTCTCACCTGTTTAGATCAGTCCATCAACACTCAAAGGCTTCCGAATAAGAAGAGGTTCTTGCACTTCGTTATATCTCACATAGCTGGATTCTACTAATTTGTCCGCCCACATTGACTTATTTCAGAATTTTATTTATGTGTAAACATGTTTGAGCATTTCATATATTAAGAAAAGTTAACCTATTGAATTAATTTTCAGCACTTGATTCAAAATTACAAAGAGAATACAGAGTACTTTTAAAGAGAGTTTCACATTTGAGAATTATGTTTACATTAATCATTTAAGATGGAAAAAGTTACTCCTCTTGTTTGACTATATATTTAAATTTTGACATGTATAGTATATATCACAGTGGAAATTTAAGTAACAAAATGTGGAAAATAAATTATTCAACATATTGACCACCTAAGGGTATAATTAATCAGAAAATATAAGGACTAGAAAGAAAGAAAGAAAGAAAGAAAGAAAGAAAGAAGGAAAGAAAGAAAGAAAGAAAGAAAGGAAGGAAGGAAGGAAGGAAGGAAGGAGGGAAGGAAGGAAGGAAGGAAGGAAGGAAGGAAGAAAGAAAGAAAGAAAGAAAGAAAGAAAGAAGGAAAGAAAGAAAGAAAGAAAGAAAGGAAGGAAGGAAGGAAGGAAGGAAGGAGGGAAGGAAGGAAGGAAGGAAGGAAGGAAGGAAGAAAGAAAGAAAGAAAGAAAGAAAGAAAGAAGGAAAGAAAGAAAGAAAGAAAGAAAGGAAGGAAGGAAGGAAGGAAGGAAGGAGGGAAGGAAGGAAGGAAGGAAGGAAGGAAGGAAGAAAGAAAGAAAGAAAGAAAGAAAGAAAGAAAAAGAAACTACTGAATACAAGACCAGAAAATATCTGGTTGTCAAAGTATCACGTATAGCAAATGCCAAAGGCATTGTAAAGCAAAAGACAATGAGATGGAATCTAAGTAAAAACTTCTGGGGACAAGCTAAGCTCATGACTAAGTTTATTCAATAATTAAGGGGAAACACAGAACTAATGAAACAAAAGTAAAAAGAATTTAGAAATTCATATATTGGCCTAAAAATTTAAGAAAAGTTTGCTCGCTTGCCAAAAACAGGAAAGGGTAGGTTCTTTCCATTTCGTCTATTTTTTTTTTTATCAAGAAACTGTTGCATAATCAAAGATCACAATTTAGCCTTTATTTGAAAAGAATATTTAATTCTAATTATTCAAGTTTAATTTTAACGATCAGATCAGGGTCTGGATCAGGTGGAACCATCCTGAGCAGAAGCAGTGCTAGGCCACCAAGAAAACGAGCCAAGGTGACTGACTGGCTGGGGACCCAGCCTTACAAGGTATCAAAATAGCTGGGTGGGAAAGACACTGTTAAATATTTGCCTGGTTATGCTCTGGGTAATCAAATGTCTAGAGTGGTTAAAATCATAGAGAAAGAAAGTCGAATGGTGGCTGCCGGGGACTTGGGGTAAAGGATAAGGGCAGTTAATATTTCATGGGCATAGAGTTTCTATTTGAAATGATGAAAATATCTGGAAATGGACAGTGGTGCTGTTTGCACATAATGTGAATGTACTTAATGCCATGGTACACTTAAATATTGTTAAAATGGTAATTTTTATATGAGGTATATTTAAGCACAATTTTTTTCTAAAAAGTTGTGGCTTTATTGAATTGCTTGTTAGAATTGCCCTGGACAGATATGCCCTACTTATTTAATATCTAATTTCCTTAAAAGTGGATTGAAATCAAACATTCAAAATTAGTTCATATACCATAGTAATTGTTGATGAATTATTAACCTGTTAATGATCTCTCCTATTTTACCTTTTGATTGAAACTGTATTTTATACCAGTTATATAAATTAACTTCACTAGAGAGTTATATAATATTTAATAAAATAGACTGTTGTCATTTGTAGACTTGAATTTGAGTGTATAATTTCTGGGAAGAAGTTCAGTGGAGATAGAAAATCTCTCTGGTCCACACAGGAAAAGAGATGAAGAAAAGAGAAAGGTGCTAACTTCCAAGAAAACAGGAAGTCCACTTCCCAGTGAATTGGAGGCGAGGGGCCGGGATATAAGTAAAAAAATTAAATCAGGAAAACTCTATTGAGCACAATGACAGGCTGGCAGAAGATGACACTGTGGAAGACTGACAGGGTGCATTCAGGAGACCAG